AAAAAAAGGATTTGCAGTCTGCTTTATTTTCATCTAATACAAATGTATAAAAGATCCATCAAATGCTGCTGAAGAAGGCAGCAAGAACCTTGAGAAATTTACCTTTGGTTTGCCTCAGAAAAATAACACGTATTGCACTGTATAAGTTTATAAATTGGTGCAACAAACGTCGTAATGTTTCAACGCCGGTTTACAAAGTACAGTAACTAATGGATGTGGAAGGGGGTGGGAGGGAGCCTATGTACACATGTGGGACAGTAAAAGCTATCTGATTTGTTAATATTGCGTGTAGACTGTAAATCTACACAAACCAAGATTCAGATAATTTCTTCAATCTGAATTAACACTATCAACTCACTTCATCTGCTGAGGTCGACAAGGAAAGTGGGCCCACTAGCTCTATGTTTTTCTGACTGATGCAAAAAAGAAGAAAAGTTAAGTTTCTTCCCCAGCTTTTCCGTCCAGAATTGACAGCATACCACTGGTAAGATGCGCCTTCCACCGTCAACATTCATGCAATGAGCAGTAACATGCAATGAGGTCTACGTGGGTTTGAATTTGTATCAGCACTCATATGCAACATAGCCTCCAAAGTTAATGACCACATGACTTCAGAAGTGACTCTTAAAAAAATAAAATGGCCCTTCTTGGAAGACTAAAGCAAAACATCCAGCCATAGTTATAAGAAGCCTTATCAAAAAAAAAAAAAAAAAAAAGAAAGAAAATGTAGCCCCTTGTGAATTACACCTCAATAAAAAAGTAGCCCCAAAATAAGCAGCTCTGAAAAAAAGAAGAAAAAATATAATATAACTTAAAATATCTTGAAAATCCATGTGATTATAGATTTAAAAGAGATTCATTTTCATAAGACTACCTAGGATTAAGGCTTATACCGTATTCTAGCACTTCAAGTTTATCACTACTTCCTAAACATCAATTTACAAGTACATGTTCATTTTTTTTTGTTGTTGTTCCTTTATCAAAAGGGAAAATTCTAGCTTCAATTCTATCCAGTGGCGAGGAGAGGGGACTACAAAGTAAAAAAAAGATTCAAAGAGTTCCATGCAAATAACATTTTTCAAATGGAAGAACTTCCAAATGACCAAAGTTCATATTGCTAATATATTTTTCATTGAAACAATTTTTAATAAGTACAAATACATGCAATAAGGTTCAGAACCTAATATAGGCCTGACAATCAAGTCCTTATTTTCCGGAAGAAAAGGCCTCAAGTCCCAATCAATTTCCAGTAACAATGTTTTTACAGATCAATTTAACAACAAGGGGTTTAATTTCCTTCCTATTTTTGTTTTTAGCATTCTAATCTTAAAGACTAGATTAGAAATTGGTTCAATTCCCCAGAAGGCAATGTTTTTTCCTTTTGCAGTATGAAAGAATCCACAAAAACCTCTCCCCCAGCTGGATTCTCAATATCCAATCTACACTCAAGATGAATCTTTTTCTATCTAATGTAAACTGTAACTTAGGTAAAATGTAGCCACGAACATTAAACTAGTTGTTAGAAAGATTTGACTAGCTTTATAATTTAAGTTTTAAAACATAAATATTTGCAGCTTGATCTTCTGTTGACAATGATTGTCGGAGCCTAGAATTCCACATTTACAAGTCCCCATTCATGCACACAAAGCACACACCATTATCACACAACTTACTCCTGTCTTGAGAGAATCTTCTGCTTTCTTGGGTCTTTGGCCTCCCAGTCAAATTCCAAGTCCAAACAACTTTCAACTCAGACTTTTCTCTTAGATTTTGAGAGTTTTCCACCCACGCATCATGACACTTTTCCTAATCTTTCGTGTTGTGCCTACCTCAAAGAGATCACCAGATTAAAACAAAGGAAATGAAACAAAGTGGTCATGTCAACACAGAACATGGGAGGTCAGGATTCAAGATCCCCTCTTGGGATTATAAATTATTTTACTGCCATGAATGACTACTTATCAGTAAGAAAAATCCTATGCTGGATTCTTTCATACTCTTTGGCAACTGGCCAAAGAACCTAGAAAAAAAAAAATGTTTTGGAGTATAGGCCCTTTATCATACAAAGTGCCCCACAGAACACCAGAATAGCTGTCATTCGTCTGAGGCCTCACCTGTCCAAAGAGGCTGTCACAGGGACAGCCAGGACACCCACTAGTTGTGGAGATCCCTGAGAAAGTAGGATTTGTTAAAAATCTGGACTGTACTTCAGTTTCAGCAGCCTTTTCGTTGTACTTACAGGAAGCTGCAGCTGGTCCGCCAGCACTCTGACTGCCTCTATGTTGGCTGTGTAATAGCTATGGCTTTGGAATCTCCCAAGTGATGATATTCTGTAAAAACTGGAAGGAGTAATTATGTATCCTGATTCCAGGTTTGCAATTTCCACCACTTAACAGTTCTTTATTCGGTTTAAGTAGCTGTAATGGACACCAACCATCTAGGAGAAAAGGTTTTCTTCCGAGATCTGTTTGAACACTCTACAGTTGGCGTTTGAGAGAAAAATTTGTTCAGTATGGAGCCTAGTGGTTAATTTGCTACAAAATCGAAACCGAGAGCTCTAAATTTACTACATCCATTCAAAATAAATAACTTATATGAAATACAGATTCTGGCATAGATACGATCTGTGGAAATCAAAATCAAAGGATTGAATCTGCACATTTCATTTGCTCACAAACTTGCACACACTATTATTCTGCAAAAAAGACAAATGCAGCGAAGAAAAAGGAAACTGCTTTTTTGCAAACAAACCTAAAAGTATCCCTCCAGAGAGGCCAAAATAAACATGCATATATGTATAAAGTGTTACTGTTCAACACAAAGGCTATTCCTAGAAAATATTTAACTGCATAGGTTAAAAAAAAAAAACAAAGCAATGTGCAACATCTTAAGCCATTAAAGCACCAAAAAAAAAAAAAACCAACCAAAAACCCACACACCAAAATCACTGTTTTTATGACAATAAACATACACAAATTAGAAATATTGATCAAAACTCAGGAAGTAAATACCTGGACTGACAGAATGTCCATTGTTGGGAGAATTTCTCTTCAATTTAAATGTCTTCTCATCTCTAAAAACAAAAAAAGCTTAAAGTGCTAACTTTATATAAAGCAGGCAAATTCTTCAAGTAATTTGCTATTAAGTAAGCCAATTTTTATAGAGCTAAACAAGGAACTAAAAATAAACTAAAATGGGAAGACAGACACGAGGAAAGAACTGACAAGCTGTAGCTGGACAAAGCAACAGAATGCTATTAGACTGTGTTGGCCGTCTCAAATCAATTCAACACATAAGCTAACAGATTTAGGCGTCTGCTGGTTTAGTACACTAACTCCCTTGGATTTGCTTAAATGTATACAACAATCAACAGGTGTCTATATATAGTCCTAAGGAAAAGAATGCACTTAAAAATCAACATTGGACACTAATTAAAGCAATCTTAAAAAGCTATCTGCTATTATAAATGGATATATAAAATGTAGTAATAGGCCTTACAAACTAAACTGAAACCTTGTCCAAAGTCCATTACTCCTGTCCTTGAGCTGCTTTTTCCAGATAGTACACGTTAACCAAATGGCGATTGAGGTGCTTGCTGAAATCCTTCTCCTTTCTGAAGGAACGATCGCAGAAGATACAAACGAACTCTCCCTTGGATGCTTTGACCGCCAAGGCTCCCTTTGCGTTTTTCCTACCGGGCTCTTGTGGAGCTGGCCGAGCCCCATGCAGCCCTGAGTCATCACTACCCTCTGACATGTTGTCACTTAGGTCACTTCCATCGTGACTGTGTATGCCTTCGTCTTCATCAATTTCCTGAGACTCATTTACTGCCGTGGTAATAGGAGGTGACGTCAGAGTCGTTTTGGACACGGCTTCACTTGCTTCTACTGGTGGGGCAGGGAGCGACGGTGAAACTGGGTCTTCAGCTGCTGAGTCGTTGCTGGGGAGATTCTCTGTTGTGTTCTCATCAGTGTCCATTTCCATTTCACAAGGAATACTGTCAGTCTGATTTTTACCATCTGAAGTTTCACCCTCTGGCATATTCAGGTTTTGTCCAGAGGATGAAACACTGGTGGATTCCTTGACAGAAGCAGCAGGACCAGCTGGGCTGGCATCTGCCGCCTCGGCTCCTGCTCTCTGAAAAGGGGTTTCTTTATCCCCTTCACTTTCAGAGAGTGACTTTTGGTCTTTTGATGCCTCTTCTTTTAAGCTTTCCTTTGGCAGCGCTGGTGACGGTGGTAAGACATCCTGTGTCCTTGCACTTTCCTTCAGGAGTCGGCTGTCTTTCACAGGCACTAAGCCAACTTCAATAAGGACTTGCTCCTTCCGTGCCATTTCTGCCATTTCACTCTGCACGTCAGACTTCTCCTTTTTATCTTTTCGGAGAGGAGACTTTTTGGGAATTAGTTCCATGTGAAAAGGAGGCTCTGTGGGAGGAGGCAGCTCCAACCGAGGCCTCTTCTGAACCACTTCCACAGGGGAAGGCCCCAGCTGAGCAGGCTCCTTCTGAACAATGTCCATGGGAGGAGGCAGGGCCACTGGAGTAGTTTCCATCTCAACAACCTCCAGAGGAGCAGGCTCCATCTGAGCAGACCCCGTCTGAACAGAACTCTTCGGAGCAGGCTCCATCTGAGACCCCTTCTGAGTAGACCCCATCTGAGACCCCTTTTCAACAGGCCCCATCTGAGCAGACCCCTTCTGAGCAGGGTCCATCTGAGCAGAACTCT